GCCTCTTGGGTGAGCTAGGCGCTTGGTTCAGCTTGCCGTACGGCGAGCTAGCCAGCTCGTCGTACGGCGAGCTAGTCCTGAACGGTTCAGCTCGCCGTACGGCGAGCTAGTTCAGTTTGGCCAGGTCGCCGTATGGCGAGCTAGGCGATAAGAGCCCTAGGGAAAGTCAGCGCCTCTTGGGCGAGCTAGGCGCTTGGTTCAGCTCGCCTTACGGCGAGCTGAGATACTTAATGCGGGTGATCTCGATTCGTCGAGTTGACTTGTTTTGGTCGTAGAATCTCAACGGAAAGTCCGATTGAGATGAAACGAATAGCAGTACGTTCGAGATTGGAATAGTATCAGGCTTAGAATCCTAAGAATCGTGTCTAACTCGCCATTAGGCGAGCTGGTCAAACCTTCAGACGTTGAGATTTCTCCGATTTGGTTACGGGGTTTGATTGGTTTTATCGTTGCCCTTTTGTTTAGACGGAGAAATCACGAGCTCGTTTCATGCTCTTTCCGTGGAGAATAGTCGCGATTAAGTTTTCTGTTTTATTAATTACTACAACGTTTTCGTGAGCGTTGGCTATAGGAGTAGTCGCTGCTAAAATTGTTTTACCAGCGTTTTTGCGAGTTGCGACTTTGTCTTTCATATATCCAGACATCGTTTTGATCTAGCGTTTTGCGGCTATGAGTAAGAGTAATCCGACCCCCCCCCCCCTCCTTCTAGCGCCAAGCTGTGGGAACTGAAATTCACCCCTGTCGATTTCCGTAAAATAAGGAAACTTATGAAAACCCTAATTTTCCAGAGGAACCGGATCTCTGCGAAAGCCAACGACAAGTAACCAAATAAATGCGGAAAAATATGAAAAACGTAAAAAAAATTTATAAAGAAAGTCGATCTTATTTCCGATTCGGGTAAGAGCGTTGCAATCATTACAAGGAATTACAAAGGCTTTGGCCGCAGGGGCCATCAGCGAGTTACAAACATAAAACCCTAAATCTAGTCGAGTCGCAGCTCGATAACGAAAGACGGAAAAAGATAAGAATAAAGGTGTGATTGATTTTGGACTGAACCTTATGTAAGGCTGCCTACATACCCCTTTCGAGGAGCAAGTCGAACGTAGTTCAGTTGATAGAGCTGGACAAGAGATCGAACTACCTGGGCGAGTTCCTCTAGTAATTGAGCGCCAATCATAGAAACCGAACTTGTCGAGAATAAAGCCTAGGTTTCTAAGTGCGGAAAATTCTAAGTCTAGAAAAGTTGTAAAAGTCTCAGATGAGAGCTCTGAAATTCTTCCCTTGCTTCTGCCCTATGCCTCTTGCTTATATACTCCCTTCCTTGGCGGTTTGGTCCTTCCATTTCGCCCAGATTCGAGTTTATCAAGAATCTTCCTTTTATGTTTATCTTTCCTTTTTTCCGCGGAAATCTTCTATTTATCTTCAAACTTGACATTTATCTTCAAACTAGACATTTATCTTCTTTCTGCGGGTAAATCGTCAAAATGTTATCGTATCTTCGGGCTAGATTTCGTTGAGATCGCAAGATGGACTTTTTCGTGTTTTAGGACCTTCCGAGCCGTTTTGCGATAAATCCGTTTTGCAACTTTATACAAGATTGTTTCCTGATCCGATGCCATTTTTAGTAAATTCCCGAGTTAATCGTAAAGTTTAGCTATATTCTTTTTTCGGTTAATCATTGCCGTTTCTACGATTCACTCGACGTTTTTATTAAAAACGTGTTTTTTACGATTTTTATGAAAAATCTCGAATAAATTGTATAGTTTAAGCAATGTTCGGTGTTTCGTTTGACCGTTGCCGTTTTATACGATTTCCTCGAGTTCTTTTCGAGAAAACAAAGTTTTACGGTTTTTATCGTAAAACTCGAACAGTAAGATGGATTGAAACGAAACGGGAGACATTTCGACCGTAGCTTGGGACATGATCGTGTCGAAGGACGTAAGCCGTGAATCGGGACGTGGGAGATCGAGGCTCGGGATGGTCGGCTCGACGTACGACGAGCCGAACTGGACCGGTTCAGCTCGCCGTACGGCGAGCTAGTTGGGATGGGACTAGCTCGCTGAATGGCGAGCTAGTCGTGATGGGACTAGCTCGCCGTTCAGCGAGCTAGTCGTGACGGGACTAGCTCACGTTTTACAGCGGTTCCGATTTTTCGTGGTTTTGTGATTAACTCGGGCGATCGTGTAATCGGCGTTTGTTTCGTTCTTCCGAGATGACGATTTCCAAGTTTTCCACGGATTTTCTTCATTTGGAAACTTCTTTTAACTTTATAAAATGATTTCTCGAGTTTTATAAAACGACTTCTCGAGTTTTATAAAACGATTTCTCGAGTTTTATAAAACGACTTCTCGAGTTTTATAAAACGATTTCTCGAGTTTTATAAAACGAGTTCTCGAGTTTTATAAAACAATTTATCGAGTTTTATAAAACGATTTCTTGAGTTTTACAAAACAACTTTTCAAGTTTTATAAAATGACTTCTCGAGTTTTATAAAACATAGTTTTATTTTTACTTTTGCGGAGACTTTTAGCCATTGATTCCGTCGTGACCGATTTTGACACCAACATCCACAAGTGGATATGTCTTTACATTAGGAGGAGCAGAAATATCATGGAAATCTTCCAAACAAACAGTTATAGTCAGATCTACCATGAAACCTGAGTTTATAGCCTTAGACAAAGCATCAGAAGAAGTTGAATGGCTTATAAATATTTGGAAGATATTCCTATGTGGGAGAAACCCGTGACACCTATATGCATACATTCTGATAGTCAATCAGCTATAGCTCAGGCTCAGAATAATCTTTACAATAGTAAATCTCGTCATATCAGAAGACGACATAAACCATTAAACAACTTATCTGAACTGGTATAATCACAATAAACTACATCAAATCGGCTGACAACCAAGCGGATCCATTTACTAAAAGTTTGCCACGAGATATTGTTGCTAAATCATCAAAATGAATGAGTTTAAAGCCAATTACAAAACAGGTTGTTTGATGGCAACCACATCTATCATGACTGGAGATCCCAAGAAGTAGGTGCAAAGGAAAAACAAAATAAAAAAAATCTACCAAAAGCACTTGAGACAAAGTAGTCTCTTCCTAGATCCTAAGATGATAAAAGTGCTAACGAATGTGAGAAGGATAAGCTTAATCTTTTAATGATTCCATAGCTTCTAAAGTGGGGTATTACTCAATACTTCTCATCGTCAATCACCTAACGAGTGTGAAATGGGGTCGTTTCTAGGCGAATGAATGCAAAACTATATTCTATAAGTTCACTCATTAAAAACATGAATAGTTCAGAGCCACAATGAACACAATAGAGAACTAAGTTTGACGAGAAAATGAAGCTACGTTTTGCATGTTTTCCCACTTTACTTAGAACACCGGTTGGTTCAAAACATCATATTCACCGTCTAGTAAAGTAAATCCGGTAGATATTAACTATGAGTTGTTCAAGGCTTAAAAATGCCACCAACTCAAACACAATGACTTTTTTTCACAAACACTCTCGATAAGTCTATCTAGGCTAGTCAAGATTAGAATAAGTATAATTTTTAGCGTCTATCAACTATGTATATAATCTGCATATGTTTGGAGTCATTTCTATTCATGTGGGAGATTGTTGGATCAAATTTTACAGCTCATTTGGCTTTAAGATAATTGTGAAAAATAATGTTTGGGCTAAAGCCCAGAATATGTCCAATGTCAACTTAACATTATGCAAAATCACACATCGGGAACAAATGCATGAGAGAGGAGTATAAATATGTACACACATACCTAAGCTTAAACAGCATGGGTGAGAGGAAGGCTCTCCATGCGCGCGCCGCCACTGCAATCTGGCCGCCTCAGCTCGGCTTGGCTCAGCGTGGGTTGCGTTTTGGTAAATGTGGCCCAGGGCCACTAAAAGATGTTTTTTGATTTCTAAAAAACAGCATGATGTTTGATTTAAACTACATGTAGTTCGTCTTAAAACAACACATAGTGTATCTGTTTGCAAAAGATCAGAACGAGTCAAGCAGAGAAAAATTTTGTGGAGAAAGTTTTTCAACTCTCCACTCTCAAGATTTTAATTCGAGGGATTTTCGCTAACATGCTTTGCTAGTTACAAAATTTGAACTCTAAGCTTCTCTTTAAATATAGCCTCACTTCCTCATTCATTCTTCACGTTTTCACATAGAAAAAAAAAACAGTAAATCTCCTAGCTTAAGTTTCAGAGAGTGTATTGTAGAATTTATAGTTCATTAAGGTGTTTCATGAGTGAAGCGTGATTCTTTTGTCATGGTTGTATCGTGGAACTCAATATTCATACAATTTTGTTTTCCCTACGGAGTAGATATTTAGAGTTAAAAAAAGATATTTATCTCGTTACTGAATTAGAGTAAAAGATGTTATATCTATGTTTTTGGCTAGAGAATAACTATGTGACAAAGATCATAACTGATAACATGAGAAATATCTCACTTTTATATTTTCGAAACTTTTATTTAATTATAAATCTTTAGTGTGTACCATTAAATTTACATACTCGGGCTATATAACTACAAAACAAGTTGTCAAGAGATATCTGTTTTAATAATCAAACTTTATTTTATTTAACAATTTGTTTTCGATGTAATGTAGGTTTGTTTTCGTTATAATTTTGATTTGTTTCTTTTAATTAGGTTCTACGACTAACGGAACAAAAAAAACAGCATATCTTCTAATATATAAATTTTATTTGATTTCAATTTCTACTGTTATTGCATAAGCCATCACTACATTTCATCACCAAGCATGCTATTAGAATACTTATCAATTTATTAAGATCAACTGATCAATTAGCTAATAGTGATAATCAGATGAATTAACTGTTAACTAATTTAAATTTTCAGAAAGAACCGAGAAAGGAATCAATAATTGGTCGGAGTGCCTTAAAGAGAATAAAATAAGTCTGCTCACTTGGATGGATGGAATCAAAGAAGACATAAGCAGATGTATTAGGACACACATATGACTTTGGATTGCACAAGATCGATGCCTCTAAGTAACCAATTCCACAACATCCCCTGCTCACTTCTTCAAACCCTATATAAATATTGTATATATATGTAAAAAGAAGAACTCATATTGGTATCAACGGAAATTAACGTAAGTTCTTATAATCTGAGCCCTAAAACTTGCATCAAAATGTAAAACCAAAACATAAACCGTAAACCCTTAATGTTTTTTTTTAAATAGAAAATACTACTTCTAATTTTCAAATGCAGTATATTTTCTAGTTTAGGTTTATTTTTTTTATCATCCCAAAACTCTATCCAGATTATTAATTGGTTGATGTGCTTGCTTACCAAATTTTCGATGATCAAGAATGATTTCATATACTGGGTTATAGACGTCGAGGTAAATGATCTTGGACCCAAGATGGACCAAACTTATTTGCATGAGGTCCAATTCCTTTTGTAAGTAGAAATTGTAGTTTATAGCCACAGTGGAGAAACGGTCAATGCAACGACGGTTGGTCAAAGGTTCGTCGGAGAACACAGTTATAACAATTGGTAAACAACCAATTGGTGGTAAACCTGCCACCGTTATTCTTCTTGCTCCTTCATGCCATAAACCCTAGCCAGTATATAACCATATCAATATTTAAAAAAGTATTTTCATACGAAATACATTAAAAACAAACTAAACCGGTCGATATCGATCTAAAGTCTCAAACAAAAACATATTATCCCAGTAGTATGATAGTATCAAACTGCACAATAATATTGGACCCATGTTGAAAGTGTTAGCATTCAATTTGGTAAATAAATTCGTTTTTAGATTTATATTTTGTAGAAAATGAAAAGAATATTCAATTCATGATATTATATATTTGTTAAAGTTTATAGATTTCAATTTTAACTATTTTATTGGATTATTGATCCATTTTATGTATGACGAATACATATCAGAGAATACAAATTTACTTCTATATGTACTCCGATAAAATTAAAATAAAATTAGAGATGAAAATCATTTTGAAGAAAGATAAAAAAGAAAAAGTTTTGTATAAGTTTATATAAAATTTATATATGGTAATTATTAATTTATGATTTTAATGGAATCATATATTTACGTAGAGTTTTCTAGATATTATTATTTTGTTATTTTATCAAATTTTGACATATTTCACATCTATCCTTTTTGGGATCAGATAAAATTATTAATTTAGTATATTTATGAATTTATCAAATATTACTCTATATTTTTTTACTATATGTTGACTTGATATAATTTATTAGTAAATAAATCATCTACTTTATTTTTAATATTGATTCTACAAGTTTCAAAAATGTTTGGTTCATTCAATTATGTGTTTTTTGTGGGGGAAGGGGGATATAGTAACTAGATTTATACAAACAGAGAATTTTGGATGTATGTATTTTAATAACATAAAAAGTCCCAAAGATACCATAGTTTTCATTTAATGTCAAAACTATTACAAACAATTTGGTTTACGGAAAAAAATACCCAAAAAGTATTTGTATGAAACCATGGTAGCAGAATTTTTATAAAAAATAAAGATATATATGTTGAAAACATATTTTTTATATACGTTTCCGACATATATTTCTTTCTTTTTAAAAAAATTCTGCAACCGTGGTTTCATACAAATACATTTTGAGTATATGTTTCCATAAATAAAATTGTTTGTTATAGTTTTGACATTTAATCAAAACTATGGTATCTTTGGAACTATCTTTGTGGCATTAAAATATATTCATCCAAATTCTCAGTTTGTAGAAATCTAGTTAATATACCCCTCTTCCCCACAAAAAAAAAAAAAAACATAATTCAATGAAACAAACGTTTCTGAAACTTTTAAAATAAATATTTGATAAGAAAGCTTAACTAGAACAAAGGATTAAAAATATAAAGATATACCGCATACAATTAAGTAGGACTGGGCAAATAAACCGAACCTGAAATTTGAACTGAATCTTATCCGATATAAATGAATTCGAACCGATCCGATCTGACGTAAATACTGAATGGATCTTATTTTATGTTATTTTGGGTTATGGGTATTATTCGAACCGAACCGAAAGTTAAATGGGTGTTCGGTAAAACCTGAAACATTCAAAGTCCCAAAGAAAACTTGACCATACATGATCTCAATTCCTAATATGTATCCAAAATACACTAAGATATTATTGACATCTAAAATAATTATCTATTACTTGAAGGTTAATGGTTGAAGGTGGCGGTTCAAAATTGAAATTTTTAAATTTTGGTTTTGTTTTCAACAATGTTTTTATTTCATGAGAATTTGTTTTTTGTTTTATACTTTCATTTATTTGGTTTCTTTCTATCAATAATTATGTTTATCTTTTTTTTTTTTTTGAATGATCACGTTTATTGCTCTTTTTGTATTTTTAAATTGATTTTATTTATGTTTTGGCTACAAAATATGTACAAGTCAGATACTTACTTTAAAATCGAAGAATCAATTTTACTTATGTATTGATTACAAAATAGGTAAATATCAAGTACTTTTAAACCGATGAACCGATTGAGACCCAAATCCGAAAGTATATCGGATTGTACCGATTTTCTAAAGATTTAATAACTCTGAACTCAACCCAATAGAATCTGAACCGATTCTGAACCGAATTTTCATATAATATGAATGAAGCTGATTTTGATAAACCCGAAAAACTGAAATCCGATTGGGATCCCGAATGCCAGTGCCTACAATTATGTTTGAAATTTTTTAGCCAGAATCTACAAAATTATTATTTAAACTGAACTAAATTCGAAACTTAACATCCAAGTTTTTTTTTTGAACTGAAGAAAAAAAACAAGTTCTTTACAAAATATTAAAATATAATATAATTACCTGGATAAATTGCTTGAGATTGTAAATAACAAGTTGCTGATAAGCTTCAATAGTGAAACTCTTTCTTCGAATTGGAATTGTGAAATAGTTTATGACGAAATCGTTGGTTCCTGCACTAACACAAAATATAGCATCTTCTATGTGTTTTTCCATTCTTTGTTTCCCAATTTTACCCTCCAATTTTCTCTTGTATTCTCTGAAATGCTCCAGTTGAGTTGGTATGTCTATCACGTTCTACCGCCCCACCAGTGAAAGCAACAATACACAATATATTAATTATTTTGGAAACAGATAAATAGCAAGAGAAAAATAGTTGACAAAAAAAAGTAAGAGAAAAATATCTGAAATATCTATCATTTTCATCCTTTATTATACTATATTAATATTGTTTTGGTTACTGATAAATTCAAGAGAAATCAATAAATTTTAGTTATTGAATATATACCTCAGTGGCAGAGGCAATTATGTTAAAATCATAACAATCAAAATACCGTAAACTGCAATAATAAACATATCTTAATAATTGAGTTTCTTACTATATTTGGATTTTAAAATATTACTATTTGGATTAATAGTCTCCATATCCGTATTTATAACCAAAAACTATATAACTTGTCTTTAGATAGCAGTGCAATAATATAATTCCTTAGAAAAAATGGCAGAACAAAAATTATTTTAACCCAAAGAATTCAATTATTAATTAGCAATTTTATTAATTATCAATTGGTATATTTAATTTTATTTAAAGTAAAATTAACATTTGCTAAGGTAATCATAAAAGGCTAAACAACTAGATGTATACTTGATTCCTAAAGGTTAGTTCTCAAAATTACAACTCAAGCTGGCCATAGATAGAACTCCTATGTGGAGATAAAAAGACTTTAGGTAACCAAAACAATCACGGGATGACAAAAATCGTTTTATATGGCGTCAACGAGTCTACTCGCGATAATTTTGGATATTAGTATCTTATGGTTATATGACCGATTGATATAAAATATACACACGCACCTTACATGAAAATGCCAAACCTCGCTATCTTTTTGTCTTTAAGAAATGATTGATTTAAGATGGTATTTTTAGTTTATTAGTTTCAGTTTTCTTTGTCGCGTTTTCGAAGCCAGCCGTGAATAAACGTTAGTTGTTTATATAAAACTTTATGAGGTTTCAATTTGTATATGTTAGAATTTAATGAAATTGGCCCAACAACAAATGATTGGATTTGTTCATATAACATATAAACATATATATCCTCGAATCTTGAAAAACGTAATATATTTTATTGGTTACATAAATAAGTATGTAATTCAAGGTTATGCAACCCTTTTCTATTAAGGAAAGTTGAAAATTTTGACAGAGCGTCAGTTTTAACGTTTCTGTAAAAAAAAGTTGAAAATTTTGAACAGTATATACCCGTATACAATTAATTTTGTGTTTTGAATTATGATCTAAAATAAAATAAAGAGAGAGAAGAGACTGGATACTAACACCAATGGTTGGAGTGAGAGGATCAAATCCAGAACCAGCTGAAGCAAAGCTAACTCCATTCATTAAGTCACCTATTCCAAGATTGGAGTCCAAATATGCTGGCACATTCTCTTTCACTCCAATGTATGAACCTGTACATATGATCATAGAGATTCACTATATAATCAGGGTATTTCAATAAAATAAAATAAATACATGAATATTGTTGGAAAAAAAGAATATATGAATACTAACCAATGAAATCTGTCACCAGTCGACCATTACAAAATCTACCGGTGGGAATGCTGTTTTTGAAATCGAGCCCATAAGGTGGAAAGTTACATTTGAATGCTGTTTCGATGTAGTTATTATTGCCAGGATCAACGGTTGAATCTCCGAAAACCAGAATAGCTGAGACTGGTTGTTTCCGGTGATGGTATGATCCTATTGGACTAGGTTTTACGGGTTCAGGTTTTGGTGTAGAGAATGAGAAGATATTGAAGAATAGGAACAAGAAGAAGATGAAGGATAAGGAAAAAGAAGAATGCGTGTGATGACTTCTCATGTTGTGAACGTTTGGAGTGGAGACAATTGGGAAGTTTGGTTGATACCCTCCAATGTAAGTACGTAAATATATAATATATGGATTTAAATTATAATTTTGATTTGGTTGGATCAAATTTGTTCAATAAAGTAAACTGAAACAGTTATATATGCCCTAGACATTATTTGTCAAATGATTTGTACATGTGTCGTCACTACAATCATTTTTGCTAAAAAAGATGATATAACACCTAAAAAGAATGACATAGCTTTAGAAAAAAAACTACATGATATCATATTAATTGTGATATATAAAATTTTCTTTATAAAAATTATTTATTTTACAGAAATTTTAACACATCTACTATAATTAAAAACTCTTATTAAGAGCATTTGAACCTGTCCACGTCATCTATTATATTCAACCAATAGGTACATTTCATTCTGCCACATCAGATGCATTCGGTTGGGCTGGATTTGGTTTTGGGCCTGAAATTCGTTTTGTTGGGAGGTCCAGTAACGATCTGTCCAGATGAGCTAAAGCTCTTCTCTCCTTGATTTTGTTTGGGCCTGAAACCCGTTTTGGTGCGAGATCCAGTGATAAACCGATAAGATTAGGTTAAGGTCTCTTCTCCTCTCCTCTTCTCTCTCGATTCGTCTTCTTCCACGCTTTGCTTCCTCTTTTTGCGATCGGTTTCGAAATCAAAACTCTACCACAATTTCTAACCATAGATATGTGGAGTTGATGAGTTTATTGAATTCGACATGGGTTTCTGTGATTTAGAGGCACTAAGCTCAACCTAAAACCTGGAGATAAAGCTATCTTCGGAAGAGGAGAGGGATTCATCACCCACGACTTAACAGTCTCACGCCGCCACGTCTCCCTCGAGTTAAAACCCTTCGCCAGCGGAACCGAATCCGATAGGGTTTCATTCGAGGTTCTCGGTAGAAAACTGGTTTGGGTACGAAAACGTGATTGGGAAAAAAGATTCAAACTTTTCGGAAATCTGAGATGGGAAAGATCAAGGCCGGTGCGAGGTTCTGTGTATCGGCGCGAGGTGACAGAGCTTATGGTTATGGCCATAGAAGACTCTGTGAGTAATGGAGGCGTTTGTGAACAAAGTTGGTGCTTATGGTTGAGCTTATCTGTGAGTAATACACGTAGTTCACTCCATTTAATGGTTGTGAACAAAGTTGGTGCTAATGGTTGTGAGTAATGGAGGCGTTTGTGAAAAAAGTTGGTGCTCATGGTGTTCATGGTTGTGAACAAAGTTGGTGCTCATGGTTGTGAGTAATGGAGGCGTTTGTGAACAAAGTTGGTGCTCATGGTGTTCATGGTTGTGAACAAAGTTGGTGCTCATGGTTGAGCTTATCTGTGACCATAGAAGATGATATCACTCAAATGTTTAACTCTAAGAAGTGAATTACTCTCTCAAATAAGAGGTTCAGTTGTAGTACTTAGGGATCGAATCCACATGGAACTAAGGAATGCAATAGATATAATCTAAATGATTATGCTAGGTTGAAAAGGTTTTAAAATAGTAAAGTTGCAGTTTATAAGCAATGGTAAGTTGCTTAAGAGAATGGATTTATGTTTGAAACAATAAAAGAAAGTAGTTAGATTCAAGGTTGATATTCAGATAATCAGGATTATAATGCTATAGATGTTTTAATGAATTGCTTGCAAGATATATGAGAACTTTGATTCTTAGATAGATCTAATAGCAGTCGCTAAATAGACACATCCATTGATCTTATTGCCAGCAATATCGACCGATGTTTTGACAGCGATATCGGACGATATGGGTTGCTGTCGATCGATGACTCTATAGGAGTATCGATCGATATAACATAAGATCGAATCAAAACTGTGTTCACCAAGATCATAGACCGGCTCTCGCATAACCCTAGAGGATCTGAGCTCATGCCAAATGATTTCAGGACAATGATAAACAAGTTAAATCACATCCATGATCATACTCTAGGTAGCTACTCTAGAGTAAGCATTAGGGTTCATTTGGATAATAAATATCAACAATTCAACATTCCATTGTTGGGGCTAATCCCTCATAACTATTTGAACCCTAAATCTAACAAAGAGATCTACTCAGACATAACTGAGAGATTCATGACAACTAGGTAATAATAGAAACTCATAGATTAGAGGTTTGAACTTTTGGTTCTTGGAACAACAAATCTCTTTGTGTGTTTCCTCTAGATCTAGAATTCTATAACCTATAAGAATTTAAGATGAAAAGAAATACTTTATAGAATAAAACAAAGTAACAAGAAAAGTATGCAAAGCTTTTCAAGTACAAAAGGTATCAAAAGGTATTAGAAACATCAAAAGCATGTCTAGCCAAACACAATGGCAAAAACTATAGATAAGAGTTCCATTAGGTTAAAAACTCGTCAGGGGCATTTTTGTAATATTGGGAAGATTTGGGCTTCAAGTTGGCCAAGTTGAACTTGTTCTCCACGCATCATATCGATTGATGGTACATGGTGTACATCGATCGATAGAGTATCTCGACTTCATCTTCAATAGAAGCGTCATCGATCGATTACACAGGGTGTCTATCGATCGATATGTGTCCTCATTATCTGATCTTCATAGTCATCTCGGAAAACTCTCCTTTAAGCTCCAAAAGGGCACCTAAATCATCATTTTACTCCAAAGTGCTACTGAACCTGAAAACATACCTAATAGACTCCAAAACATATATAAAACTCATAAAAACATATCAAAACCATGGCTAAAATCGGGTCAAAATCATGGTATATCAGAAGACCCTGGCAATAATGATTACTTATTTGTTATGTATATAGAGCCACCTCTCATCCACAGAGACATTAAATCATCAAACATTTTACTCACTGACAATCCAGAGCCAAGGTTGCTGATTTCGGGTTCGCTAGATTAGCTCCATAGTGCTAAGATGGGATTGAGTGTTTCGAAAGTAAGGTTAACGAAAAACGTCGTGAGATACTTTTCGTGGTTGATGTCGTTACGGAATCTCCAGAGAATACGCCAGGGTTTTAGAGTTTGGGTTTCCTCAACTCGTGTTACTTATGCAGGAAGAAACTTCACGGTCAGGGCATATTTATTTACAGGTATAAATAAAGTAAATATAAGTATTTTATAATGCAGAGGAGAAAAAGATTTTTGCAGCACTGAGTGTCGATCGAGTCATATAGCAAGTGTTGAATGGAAAGAGAGGTGTAGATCGAAGTTCCCACCCTCTCCTTACACCGCCGGTCATGTTTTCTCCGCCGGAGTTTTAGTGACTTAGCCGGAGTTCTTCTTTTGAGTATATATAATATATATACGGGGGGGGGGGGTCGCGGGTAATAACATAAGAATAAGATTTTCAAGACAACAAATGAAGACATGTATAATGGTACTTAAGATTGACCTAGGATCATTCCAATGCTGGTGCACTGTGACCAAGCGGTTGTAGCATCAAAGCTTTAGAGTTCTGTCATGGCTTATAACAGGCACAAATAAGTGTTCGTTCTTTAATGTTAGCTTAACACTGAGGACTTGAGGAGGTATTTAAGCTCTGCAACCTGCACATACCATAAACAAAGAAAAACAAAAGAGAGTGGTCAATATCAGGAACAATGAATGACAAGCAGTTATTTCTCTATAGAGAAGAAAGAATGTGTAGCTGGAAGATTGACTCCCGTAGATCTCTCTTTTGTTCTTTTGACATATACGTTTTTCTAATATAGTAAATATTTTGATAGAATCAGTAGGGAGATGACAACAGAGTCAATAAGACAAGACCATATAATTTTAGAATAATTATTTATTGATGACAAAAAACAGAATAATTATTTATTTATTTTTATACATATAGGTTACAGGATGACTAAAAATATCAATATAATTATTAACCAACTGTTATAATTCAGTTTTTTTTTGTAAAATTTATATATATGAATGGTACTTCAAAATATTATCGTTATAATCATTTATGTAATTTTGAGTCAAAATTTCAATTTATTTTTAGTTTCATTATAAGAATAATATATAGAGACTTTTCTCAGGCTACGCCAGGATTTTTTCCCTTACATTTTAATTTTGTTTAATTTATTATAGAATATATTTGATTACAAATTCTATATTTAGACTAATAATCTATATAAATCATTAAAATAAATTGAAATTTTTTGTATTGGTTTTGGTGACTAAAATTATAAAATTATTAAAAAAAATCTTTCAATATCAAAATACATATAAGTTGGTAACCATTTGTATTAAAAATTATATTTGAAATTCAATAAATCATTAAGAAATATACTAGATCTCAGCCAAGAATGACTTTGAAATCTTAAAATCATAATACCAAATTTCTAATATGAAAAGATGGATTAAATATATGAAAAGTCATTGTTGAATGTTAAGATTTATAGTTACCTGAAATATTTATTTGGTCATTACGATATAAGCTGAAACCCCACCATTCAATAATCTCTTACAGAGATCTGAACATTCTCCACTGATCCCACATTTTTCGTTCCTCTTCACTTTCTATTTTCGTCGAATGTATTATATTTTTTAATACAAATGGTTACCAGCTTATATGTATTTTGATATTGAAAGAATATTTTTAAAAATAATTATATAATTTTAGTCACCAAAACCAATACCAAAAATTTCAATATTTTTAATGATTTGTATAGATTATTTAGTCTAAGTATAGAATGTATAATCAAATATACCCTAGAATAAATTAAACAAAATTAAAATATAAGAGAAAAAATCTGGGCGTAGCCCGGTAAAAGTCTCTAGTGGTAATAAAAATAACTCATATAACATCAATAATGCCAATTTCCATATAAATATTTATTTTTTGGTAAAATATTTAAATATATTAATAACTCCTATATCATTATTAAAATAATAATATATATTTCACATTTAATCAAAATAAGGTAAATAGATTACTTTTACATCAACTTATACATCACATTTGTATAAACTAAATATGCATAAAAAAATACCAAACTAAAGTA